CGGAGGTACTCCCGGAGGAAAGGGTGTAGGGGGAACCGGAGCCCCATCGACACAGACAGGACATGCACCGCAATGCATCCCTCAGGAGCCCGGGAGAGGACGTCATCGTGACCCAGTGCCACCACAACGGCCGAAGGGCCCACGTGTAGTTGAGTGACATAAAGATCCGCCGCATCAGCTTTCGACCTTATCTCTAAGGCGGCGGTATTCAAGTATGAATACCCCTCGAGCATATCAAGGGGCTTCCCTTGGTCTGCAACGCTGCCCTTCTTCTTGGGAGCAGCGACCTTCGCCTTCTTTTTTCCGGGGCCACCCGGATGGGAACCGCGTTCAGCGGCCGAGAGGTGCTGGCCTCGCCAGTGCCCCGAGGGAGGAGAACAGCAACAGTGACCCTCGCACCCTCTTTCTGCGCCTCTTCCTCAGCTACTTGCCAGGCGAGGGCCAGCTCTTCGTCTTCACACTCTTGTTCGAAGCCCTCGGCTTCTGCCTCAGCAACGAGGGCTTTCTGCAACTCCATGGCGACAACGGCGTCTTGTCCTGCTGAGGGCTGTTCGCTTGAGGACTCCATGTCCGAGATGACTTCATCCTCCATCGAGGGCGCCCACGAGATGTCCTGGGAATCACTTTGGGAAGACATCTTGGCACTAGTTCGAGGGCTCGGAAACACTAGAGTTTTCTAAAAGTTCTATCTCCTAGCCTAAAGGCACAGGGCACAGCTAACTAGAAGGAGAAGAGCAGGGGCGAACTGACCTTAAGGCAGGGATTGATCGAAGGCGGCTGTTTCTCTCTCTAGAAATTTTGGCAGAGCTTCGCTACAATGATTTCGCACAAGGGGAAGTAAAGCCGACCATGGGATATTTATAGGCGCTGGGATCCGGGCTTGGGCCTGGAAACCGGGCCTCCGGTTGGACTGCCATCATTACCAACCGTGGTTTCCCCCAATCGGTGACGCCCGCCCACGGGCAGCCAACGAGCACGCACCACGTGGCAACCCCCCCCAACGGCTATATCCTGACGTTAGATATTCCAACGACTATATTCCCAACGGCTATATTCCGGGAGCTCCCGGCTACACTTGGCAGACCACTCCTTCATCAACCAATAAACTGGCCCCCGGGTTTTCACTTCACTCCACTTCATCAAGGAGAGCCTCCGGGTACACTTACCCAGAGACACTCCCGGTTTGTGCCCCACACACTACATAACAAATGCCTTCGGGCTCACTCCTTCAGAAGCCCACGGCTTCATAACAGGCCACCCCTCGGGGATCCCCCCTCAACACTCTGAGGGCCGGGTAGCCCCCGGGGAGTATGCCTCATTGACGGATAGCCTACGGCACACAGGTAATGGGAGCCCTCAGATATCCTCATCACCAACTAATCAACAGACAGGGGACACCCCAGTAACAATTCAACTACTACCCTCATTCATTACGCCCTCGATCCCCAGATTGAGGGACCCCCCTTCGGTACCTCCCAGAACATCAACAACAAGCCTCTGGCTAATCAACGCATGAGCCCTCAGAACAAGGAAAGCCTTCGGCATCAGCATTATTCTCCATTTCGAACCAAGGTTTCACATTTTCGATTCATCGTTGGGGGAATTCGGTGCACTCTTTTTCCCTCATTAGGATTTTTTCCCACAGGGTTTTTCCTAATGAGGTTTTTAACGAGGCATCCCCCCAAAATGAAACGAAAAGCGTCAGCCTTCGGCCCAAAACAGCAACACAACTACTCTACTCCTTTTCACCACTTTGTAAGTGCCTCAAGGAGTGGGGGACTGGAGGACCCCCTCGGGAAAAATCACAAAAATCACAAACATGACCCCTCAAGTCCCGACATGTGGGTAACTGAGGGACTGCCCTCGGCAGAATGAACAAACAGCAAACTACCCACAACTCTACAAGCTACAAACGAAACAACGGTAGAGGACAAACACAATTACTCCTTTTCCCTCAAGTACCTTTCGGCAAAAGGAGTGAGGGACTCCTGATGGAGTATATGGCCCGGGAACCCCCGGCCCACAGACTCCTACCACTCCAATAAAGGGCCAGCAGGCCCAGAAAGCACAACAGGCCCAAATCACAGCGCCCAGAGTACCAAGCAGCCCACAATGCGCATCAGGGGTGCCTTCGGCCCCCTGGCCGAAGGCTCTAACTCTCACGGGAGGGCCAACACAGCAAAACAAAGTTACTGGGAAAAACGGCGAAAATCAGTAGCCCTCGGCACCTGGAGCCCTCGGCACCAAAGGGGTCCCCGAGACTCAGAGCCCTCGGCTAGTCCTCTACAGCCGAGGGCACCTTTCCCGACATGATATCCGCGCCACATGCGTACAGATCACCGTACCCTGTACAACGTCCCATCCAACAGCCGCATTAAATGCGGCCACATGCGGTTGCCAGCGCCAACCAGTTGAGATGACCTCTCGGCCAATAGACGTTTGACACGTGTCCCTGTCTGGCATTTATTGCTACTATAAATAGCACCCCATTTCCCCATTTGTAACCAAGCCACAAGTCATAATACACACGCTGCATACATTCTAATATACTTTCTCTCTCTACTTATTTGCTCTGACTTCTCTCTTGTTATTCCCCGTAATAACCCCTCGGATAAGCTACCCCCGGGTACACTATCCATCAGACTAAAATGAAAAAATGATCATTTTATATACTAGAACACTTGCTGTTTTAGGTTGACTTTGTTTCTTAAGTAGAATGTCACAATACGTAATGAATTATTATTATACCCCTCGTTTACATGAATGTTACATTCTATATGATAGTTTATTTGAGTTGTGCTAGGTGTACACATTTTTGTGTACATCATTTGTACATTCGTCTATTTCACGCAGATAGGGTTGTCTGTCCACAGACAACTCTGTAAAGTTGTCTGTGGACAGACAATTGTGTGTACGTAAGACAGACGAATGTACAAAAACTGTATACAAAAATGTGTACACTAAGCATTTTTCTTTATATTTAGGTCAAATTTACTCAAAGTATCCCTCTAAAATTGTAATAATGCGTTATGAGATCAATTTTACGAGATGAGATACTAAGGAATCAAGACTACGTGAGATAAAATTACATGAAAGGTGGTACGCATATACGATAGTATATTCTAAGAAACTGATATAACTAAATCAAATTGTTGTGCCAATAGGATCGAGGATGGTCTGGATGGAGTTTATTATATACTTAGAGCCTTTTGGAAACTTGACATTTGAGGAAGATTTTTGTAGAACATAGAATCCTTATTTTCATATTTGAGCGGATAAGGGCAATGGTTTGGACCAATCGACCTATTCAAGATCAGATTTAAAGGAAATGATGAGAGGAAGCATACCAATATACACAAAGATTCTTTCTTTAATTTCTTTGATTTTACATTGATAAATAAATAGTTGCTACTTGAGGCAAAAGTTGGAGGATGACTTTCTGAGCTGCATTGTAAACAAATTGGCTTGAATTGAAAGATTTTTTTAGAACCCGTTTGGCAGCATGAAAATCGGCTGTTCTGGCTGATTCTGTTGAAATTTATGAAGTTCTGGCTGAAGTGGCTGCATTGGCTGATTCTGTTGATACAAGAAAAAATTATTTTTAAAATATATTTTATTAATAAAAAAAAAGAAAAAATTATATGTAAAAATAGCTAAAATGGTCATCTACAGTAACTTCAGCTAATACAGCCAGAAAAGTAACTCCAACCTTATTTTTTGGCTTATTACATAATTCAGCACGCGAAAGTAAAATTTACGTGTTTGGTAAAAAAGTTAACTGATAAACCTGATAAGCCGAAAATGAGGGTTGCCAAACGGTCTCTTAATATGTGGTTAGACAGCATCAAGGCACCGACACGTAAATAAATGCATACTCTCCTACCATAAAATTCTTTCTTTGTTTGATTTGAATTAAAGTTTTAAAAAGTGAGAACAAAATGGAAATGTATGATTTTAGACTTATGGAAAAAGTAAATGAATATTAGGTTCACAAAACCTTTCCAAAAGAGAATGAGAAAAATTATTTTGAGACATCCCAAAATGATAAGTAAGAGAAGTTTTATGGAATCTTGTCTCTTCCACATAGGAAAATATTAAAAGGGCCAAAATTCACATTAGATTTAGTCACGCTTATGCAAAAAAAGAAAAACAATACTCCGTATGTATTTCCATTTTCAAAATTTATACTGCCTTTTGTAAAAAGCATCAACCTTTTCAATTTGAAAATCAAATTCAGTTTTAAAAATTACAAACTTTCACAATTAAATAATTTTCCAATAATATTCAAAATATATCACTTCTAGGAGAATCATAGACAAAAGACAGAGACATACTTTTTTCTATATTATTTGGAATCAAATTTACTAATCTCGTCTGGTCTGATCTGTTTAAGTCTGATCTGATTTGGTTTGGTAAATGTTTGATCTCTGTGTTTTTATAACTCTTCATGTCTGATCTAGTCTGTTTAAATCTTGCTTGGTCTGATCTATTTAATTCTGGTCTGATTTGGAACTCAAACCGTCCAAAAAACATCCTAGTGTAGTACTGTAGTGTGAGAACGGTAAAAGGTTTAAAACCTAAAAGAATGCCAAATGTACAAACCTAATTGGCTTGCAGTTGTCATCAAGCTTGGCATACCACACACTCGTAGCTTATTAATTATTAGATGACAGCGGTTGTTAATTTTCATCTGAATGAAGCAAAAGTTCGATGGCTATAAAAACAGGCCAAAGGAGAAAACTGTGACATCCCATAGGCCACTTGTTATCTACTTTGCAGTGGAAAGGAAAGAAAGAAGTCAGGAACATGGAAGATCAACATGGAAAGCCATCCTCCATCAATGAACCACTTATTGAGAAAAGTGATTATTCAAAGCCGCGGGGAGGTTTGGATCAGAAAGAGATTACTGATGAAGTAAAGAAGCAAGCATGGCTAGCTGGCCCACTTATCTGTGTAAGCCTATTGCAGTATTGCCTGCAGCTGATATCTGTGATGTTTGTTGGGCATCTTGGAGAACTGGCTCTTTCTGGCGCTTCCATGGCCACCTCCTTTGCTACTGTTACTGGCTTCAGCTTACTGGTTAGTTTCTTGACTTTCTTCCTCCATTATTGGTGGACCTATGGGTATCTTTTTCTTTCTCTCAAACGTATTTGAACTTGTGAAGTACTCAAGTGGCAAATATTTGAAAAAAGAAAAAGTTGGTTTTTTTCTCACTTCACAACTTGCCACTGCCCCATCCCCAGAAAATAAACAGCCCCCCTGCCCCATCCCATCCACTTTTTATGCAATACGATTTTAAACAAAAAGATGACGTGTGACATACGGAGTATAATAATGAAGAATCTCATAAGGGTCTAATAAAAAATAGGCCACTTTTTTGACATGTAACATATTGTAATGAAGAATATCATCAAGGGTCTAATGAAAAATAGGGCAAAGAGTTTCCCGACTTTTCTTTTTTATTCGGAAATGGGTTTGAAAGAGGATTTGAAGTTTTTGAGCTTTTGAGACGGCCAAACGCGAAATGAGCTTTTTAGTTTGTAGCTGCCACTGTTATGCAAACTAATAAAACTTAGAAGAATGATATTACGTATAGGTCTATTGAAGTTTGAGATATTACAAGATTCTTTGGTTTTTTTCTCCGTGTAACTAAATGACACTTGAGAGTAGAGAGGGGTAGCATTGGACATTTGCAACTGCATTTGATTCATACTAAGCATATATGAATTTGATTAAGTTTTGTGATCATTTGCTAATCGGCTGGCCTGATGATTGAACAAACTCAGATGGGGATGTCTAGTGCAATAGACACCTTGTGTGGTCAGTCCTATGGAGCAAAGCAGTACCATATGATGGGCATACAAATGCAAAGAGCAATGCTTGTTCTTGAACTGGTTTGCATTCCTCTCTCAATGATCTGGCTTAGCACCGGCCCGATCTTGAAGGCATTCGGGCAGGAGGCCGCGATTGCAGATGTAGCTGGTCAGTATGCTCAGTTCATGACTCCAAGCCTTTTTGCATATGGCCTTCTCCAGTGTCTGGTTAGATTCTTGCAGACACAAAACATTGTGTTCCCTATGGTGCTCACCTCTGGGATAGTCACTGTGCTTCACACGCTGACATGCTGGGTTCTTGTTTTCAAGTCTGGCCTTGGATTCCGAGGGGCTGCCCTGGCCAATGCTATCTCCTATTGGCTAAATGTTTTGTTGTTAGCTCTTTATGTCATGTTTTCCTCTTCTTGTTCCAAGACTTGGACTGGCTTTTCTAAACAAGCGCTTAAAGACATAATGGTCTTTGTTAAGCTTGCAGTTCCTTCAGCTATCATGGTCTGGTATGTTTTGTTTCTTCCCTCCATTTCTTGGAGTCTGGTTCTGTATAGCTTGGCATTATTTGTTGCTGTCTTAACAATGTGTAGCAAGATGGCAGTTCCCAATCTTGAAATCCGTATATTCTTTTTGTGTTTTGGTCAGATTGATTGTTTGTTCGTTTGAGCTTAACACACAGTGATATTGTATTGAGTTAGGCCTAATTCACACCTAAAATCTCATCATAATTAATGCTTGATATTGTAAAATGTCAACATGATAAAAGGAATGCATGAAATCTCATATTTTGCCGTTATTGAAAGTCAGCATTCTCTAAATATTTTAAATGAATAAATCTTGATCATTTATCACGTCAACGTGCTCCGTAGTGAGTATGTTGGCGTGCTTCATATATTTTCTCGTATTGAATGACTTAACATTACTTAACTTTTTTGTTATGTTAATTATTGATATAGCCTAGAGATGTGGTCGTTTGAAATGTTGGTGCTGGTTTCTGGCTTTCTCCCAAATCCAGAATTGCAGACTTCGGTACTCTCAATCTGGTTTGTAAATTCTACTTCCAATTATTTTGAGTTAAAAGATCATTGAACCAGCAGGATGAAAACTGTCCGTTTAAAGTAAATGCTTTTCTTAATCTTTATTATGTCACAGCCTCAACACGGCTGCAACGGTGTGGGCAATCGCCTTTGGGCTTGGAGCAGCAACAAGGTCAGTCAGTGGAAGTAATATTTTACGAATTACTTAACAACATGCATGTAACATTGTTGTGCAATCACTATGGATGGGAGCAGCACGCGGGTGTCAAATGAGCTGGGAGCAGGACACCCCCGGGCAGCGCAGGTAGCTATCGGCGTTAGCGTTGCAACGGCAGCTTCACAGGCCGTTCTGATAGGATCAGTTCTGCTACTGACACGCAAAGTCTTGGGATACGCTTACAGCAACAGCATCCCAGTTGTTGAGTATGTGTCTTCAATGGTGCCTATTGTAGCCCTCTCCAATTTCTTGGATGGACTCCAGACTGTGCTTTCAGGTTAATAATTTCTATATCTCTTGCTAAAGTATTTTGACACCTTAAAATATAAAAGTTTAGAACTTTTTGTTGGATTGATTGATTCATGCATAACTCTCATAGTATATATGTTTTTCTTCTTCTTCATCATCATCATCAGAGAGTTTAGTGAACCATTTTGCTTTACTCCATCATATTCTCAAGCCAAAAAATAGTGAATTTTTCGCTCCATTGCAAATGATATATAGGTGCTGTAAGGGGGTCTGGGTTGCAAAAGGTTGGAGCATTCATCAATCTTGGATCATATTATATTGTGGGCATTCCTTCAGCTCTTTTGATGGCTTTTGTTTTTCACATTCAAGGAAGGGTAATTGCTATAACACTTGAAACTAATTTTATTCTTCATTTTCATTGGAACTATACATTATATCTAACAATATTTTTATCATGAACAAATGTAACACAGGGCCTGTGGTTAGGGATTATATGTGCATTGCTAGTGCAAGTGACTTCTCTTCTTATTATCATTGTCCGTACAGATTGGGAACAACAAGTAAGAGTCGCCCACTTCATGCTTTCTTATACTATAAGTCTATAATTGTTCAATTATTCGGTTATATTTTATGACATGAAGAATGAAATCAGTTAAGATGGAGGATACTCTTAGTCCTTGAAAGAATAGGAAGAAAAACGTATTAGGAAGTTAGAAGAAATAGGAAGAATATAAAACAGTCTAAACTCAATTAATTCATGTTATTTATGTCTATGATCTAAAGAATAACAAGTCTAAGTCTAAATCTAAAAAAATCTGGAACTATAGTGACAACACAAATTCAATTGGATTGTATTTAGTGGCACAAAACATAACTATCACCAGGCATGAACCTAGAATTGTAGGGTCCACGGAATTCTTTCATGCCAAAGGTCCGGACCCACACTATTAAATCAAATTATTGTTTACTTAGTGTCCTTGACAAGTTTTGTCATACAAAATGTTAATAAAAATGATTTGCATTATTCAGTTGGTGCAATGATTCAGGGCAATGGCCATTAAACCTTGTATATTTCACAGGCTAAAAAAGCTAGAGAGAGAGTCTACTATTCTGCTATCCCAATTGAGGCAGTTTCCTGAAGGGCTATCAAGATGTCATGTATTGTGGAGTACTAAACTAAGTGATGAATATTTTTTGTAACATTGTAAAATTTTGACTTTGTGCTAAATAAAACATTTGAGATGAATTTAGCTGGTAAATGCGATTGTCACATAAGAGTAGACATGTTTGTCCACAAACCAAACCAGAAAAATTGTTCTAGGGTTGTTTGGAAAATGGCGTTTCAGTCAATAATAGTGGTTTGACCTTTATTATTTCAATTAGTGAAAACGTTGATCTATATTGTATGTTGAATAGTTGTCTAGCCCTATTGTTATTGGACAGAATGGTTGAAATACAAACGCTACAAATAGTAGCATTTTGGGTTTAGCATCTTGAAACATGGCATTACCTATTAACTACGGTCAAATAGTTAAGGTATCAAACAACTTTTTGCAACTTGTCAACTCAATCCACTAGTCAAATATGATGACCAACTCCACTATCAACAATTCGTTAATGTAATCCGCTAATCGCTAATTTCCAAACACGCCACTAAATCAAATTATACTAAAAATTAATCCAAACTAGTTATGATTCTTTTATGTAGTGTATTGAGTTGATCGATTCTTGTTCCAACCCATTGTTGGGATAGAAAAGTCAACACCTCTAGTGCCACGAGTGTGACACTTCAAAAATTTAAATAAAAATAAAAATAATTTTTAGTCAGATAAAATATTACAAAAATAACATTTTTGTAATTAATTAAGTCAGACAAAAATTCAACAGTTGTAACATACTAATCAGATAAAATTTTCAAAAATTTATGACGTTTTAGTCCGATAAAAATACTTCAGTAATAAGAACAACATTTTAGTAAACTAGTGAACCAGACAGAAAATTTACATTTACGACATTTTTAGTCAGATAAAAATGGTCCGATAGTAGAAGTAACGTGTTATATCAAGTACGAGTTATACATGTGGCATAAGTAATAAATGTTTTTATATTCATATATATATATATATATATATATATATATATATATATATAAATGTGTGTACAAAAATACCAAAAATACTTTTCTAATATTAAACAAAACCTACGTACATGCTACTATATATATCTACGTAAGTACTACTATTAATATATATATACCTACGTACGTATACTCCTAATATATATCTAAGTAGTATACTCCTAATATATAAATACCTACGTATACTTATATTATATATATAATAACATAATACTATGCCTAATTATATAATTAAAAACGCAATATACGTATACTAACCTATTAATACTAGTTATATAATAAATAACTCCTAATACTCCTAAAAGTGCAAAAGAATCAAAATAACTCTAACATCTCAGCCTAAAACCCTCGACCTACGCCTATAAATAATAGCCTAAGACTTGGGTTTTCTTCAATCCCAAAATCTGCAACTTATATATACATATACGTGTGTATATATATATATATATATCAAAATTTTCAACCCTTCGTTTTTACAAGAACCGAGCCTTAAAATACTTCTCAAGCCTTCCCCTTCGTTAGACGAATCCAACGGTGAAAGAATCGTAGAAAACGGTCGTGAAACGAGAGAGATATCGCTCGCCGGAGTTGCAAGTTGTGGAAGCGGGTCTTTATAAAAAGCAGATATTTTGCCGTAGATAGGGGTGGAGGAGCTTCGTCTCGCCGCAAGGATCATTTTGCAACTTGAATCGTCGAAATCCGTTACCTGTAAGTCAAATTATAGCTCGTCGGAGTTTTCTAGTTTCCGGCGAAGTCGCCGGAATCGACCTGGAGAAGATGACCCAGTTGTCTGGGTCAGAACTCTTGGGCCGGGTCAGTTTAATGGGCCAGTTCGGCCCAGTTTTAATAAAAATTAAAAATAAAATAGTAAATCAAATAAATAAAATCTGGAAAAATATAAATTAAATACCTAGTATAAATATACATATTCGGACCAACCAGAATTGAAAAATAATATTTTTAACTATTTTTAATTGATTTAATGGTAATTGGGCCAATTTATACACATTTAGTAAATAATTAACTAAATAACGAAAATAATTATGAAATAAATATTGGAGTAAACTAGGGTAAATATATGACTAACTAGGACCTTATGGACCATTTATAATTAATAAAAATAAGGTTTAGTATATTTAATTGTAATTAAACCGGTTAATAGATATATGACATTAAAGGAATAATTAGGGAAAATAATTATAAAATAAATATCTGGACAACCTAGGTCGAATATAGACCCAAAATATATTTATGGACGGTTACTAATTTATAAAGTCGATTCTTAGTCTATTTATTTAAATTAGGCCATATAAGACTAGTTAAGTAATTAAATAGGTGAATATTAATATTAATGATGTAATAAATAAATCAGTGAGGTTGAAAATTAATATTCTGGACTAAAAATAATGTTTGAATAAAATAAGGAAAATAAATATATTCGGTTATGTAAATAAAGTAATTAGATAATAATTTATGAGTAGAGTAAATTAATAGTGATTATTGAATAAAAATTTAGATGTTGTAGTTAATGATATTCGAATATTTTATTTAATATTAGAATTCAAATATTGTAATTAATGGCTAAATTAATAAGGTAATTTGATTAATAAAAAGTGATTAACCAAAGTTAATGCGAATAATAAAATAAAAGGGGAAAATCGGGTAAAGTAATTACAAATAGAATAAGTGACTAATTTATCATATTTAATTAAAAAGGTGATTATCTAGAGACCGGATTAGAGGAGGATAACTAGGAGCAACAGGACTTAAGGTAAGTTTCTCTGCCAATCCAAATATGTTTCCTCGTATTATATGCTTATTATGCATTATGTGATTAAGTGTGATTTGTGAACTTTGTGTATGTGATTTTTAATAAGTATAAATCAAGTATTTTTGGGGTATTAAATATTTTTAAATACCTTCGAGACTTTTTAGAGAAATTAAGAAGTATTTTTGAAGTATTATTAAGCGAAGATAAAATTTACATTTTCATAAGAAGTGAGCATCTCGGGAGTAATCCGAGGTGTCGGTTTTTCCACATCCGGATAAATGTGGAGGGTGATTAGAGCTACTACTACTAAGAAGTACAGTTTGGATCTATGATCCCTTTTAAGTAAGATTTGGATCTATGATCCCTTTTAAGTGAGATTTGGATCTATGATCCCTTTTAAGAGGAAGTTATAGTAGTAGTCCCTAATCATTCAAGAATTTTAGAATTGGGGTGGTTGGGTTCCGACCACTCGGGATGACTTACTACTCGGAGGGCTTGGAATCCCTTTTAAGGGGTGTGCACACTTAAGGTAGTCGTTTCGTTTCCAACAGAGCAGTTGTGGTACCGGCACTTGTTCGGGGTGGCCGTCCGTAACCACGGTCCACCGGGCTCTACCGAAAGGTTAAGCACCGCCCTTCTAAATTACTAGGAAGTTAGAGAAGAAGTGATTTTCTTAAGAAGTTTAAAGAGAAGAAGTAATAAGAGATTTTCCAAGAGAAGGTTAAGATTTTAGCAAAGAAGTGATTTTAAGAAAAATCAAGGAGAAAAGTATTTTGGTGGAGTGCGTCATTTTTATATGATATTATATAAAAATCTATTTTTAGTCAAACCTGATTATTTTACGGGGTTGGGTAGTACTTACTTAGCTCTAAAGCTAATTTTTGTTATTTTTCTTGTCTCTCTCTTCTCCCTTAAATTTTATCAGGTGATGAGTTGGATACCTATGTGGATTGACGGATTGCTCGAGCTTGAGTGCGAATTAGAAGATGCCTTAGTTAAATCTAGTCATAAAACAAACATTTACTTATTATTACATTAATTTTTATTGTTTTACTTTGAATTGCCTGTGCATTCGGTTAAGAGATGACCGAATGTGGCGGTAACACTCATTTCCCTTTTAGACTTCCGCTGTATTTCTTCAACTCTTTGATGAATGAATAAAGTATTTCTTTTAAATATATCAATGTTTTGGGCGGGAAATTTAGGGGTGTTACAACGAGTCTCACCACAAACATATGTAATTAGATAAGTGAGAGTGATTTAAGTGGACCACTTGTTACAATTAAGAATCTCCTCATATGGGTGTCTTGAGTTCTGAGTCACTAAAAATTCACTAGTGTAGCGGGGCGATTTTTTTTGCTAGTGTAGCGGGGCGAAATTTTTCACTAGTGTAAGACTCTGCGGCTATTTTAATTCAAAAAATTCATTAATACATGACGATATTTAAATCTATATATTACTCCCTCCGTCCCGCTAGAAGATTCCTACTTTCCTTTTTTGGACGTTCCGTTAGAAGGTTCTCATTTCTATTTTAGGAAACAATTAACAATCATAAGTGACAAATTAATCATTAAATATTAAAATTAATACACTTATATCATCACAATTATCAATACTAACTACATTATAATATATACCTATTAAAATTATTTCTCAAAATATACTCGAAGTACTTTATTTAATTATTGTCTAAATAATCGTGCCGTTTTGCTATGGGAACCTTCCAACGGGATGGAGGGAGTACATTCTAATTTTAGCAAATCAAAGGAAAATGATATAAAAATAAAAAAGGATATATAACATTTTATTTAAATATAAAGAGTTTATAAGATACACAATCACGGATTCGCATTCATCAATACTTTTAAAATAACTTCAACATTGTTTAACTACACGAGTCTTGTAGAAATAAAGAATTGATTTTTGAATTACAATTTTTGTCTACCATGGTGTATGATATTATTATTTTTAGAATAATATTAAATTGCTAATTCATATATATATATATATATATATATATATATATATATATATATATATATATATATTGCATATTATATTTGTATTAATGCTAAAATAATTAAAATTTATTATCTATGGAATAAAGCCTTTTTAGAACGTAAGAAGTAAATGAATTGTGTAATTTAATGTCAATAAACATTTATAATTTGGATTCAGTTCACATGATCTAAAAACTTTATAGCTAGAGTGTCTGGTATTTAATATCGTTTGATATAGATTTTTCAAAATTGTTTACTAGTTATCTAATAAAGATAATTAACAAAACTAATAATTTTTATATAATAAGTATCCTAAATCTTAAATAATGAGTTGTTCTATTGTTTATTTAAGTTATGTAAATGATTTTAGATGTTCCTTCTTTTAAATCTTCAATTAAGTATTACATTATGTAAGACTATATATTATTTTTAAAAACTAAAAGTTAAGGAGGGCAGTGTTCAAAAGAAGTTAAGAGGGGCGAATCTAATTATAGTATCAAAATTTTACCAAAACATTACATATATAGTAGAAAATTTTGAAAGTCCAAAGAGCGCGGTCGCACCCCCGCGCCCCCCTTAAATCCATCCCTGACTAAACGCCAATGGCGGTTATCACTAAACATTGTCGGTGGTGGTCATTGGGTGGCGGGTGAGTTGCTGGGCGAGTTATCAACCAACATAGTCACTGTAAGAGGTTTCAAAATCAATGGACAAGAACTGAAGTCATTGAAGATGCCGCCACCTAGGGTGGACCCAGGCCGGGCCTGGGCCCGAGCAGTCTTTTTTTGGGAAAGGGTGAACTGGAACCGACCCGGGTAGCCGGCGGTTCCGGGTCGGGCCGGTCCCGGGCGAGGCCGGTCCGATTCAATGTTTTTTTTGTTTTTTGCTTTTCTAATTAACCCCCGACCCCCCCTCACCCCCCACACCCACACCCCCCCCCCCAAACACTCAGCCCTACACAGGGAAAACAAAAAAAAAATGAAAAAAAAGGTCCAGCCTGGTCGGGCCGGTTCACTAAATTAAGGGCCCGTACCCGGCCCGGCCCAATCCCCCAACCGGGCCTAGGCCCGGAACCGGTTACCCTAGACCGGGTCGGCCCCGCACAATAGCGAGTTGGGCCGGTTCACGGGCCGGGCAGCCCGGGCCCGATCCATCCCTACCGCCACCGCCGCCAACGACGATATTGCCAGCAGTCATAGTTGCGATGGTGGTTGGGTGGCTAAGAACAGTTTACTGCTTCTTAATGATAATAAATATAACACAAAAATCATATTGAATGTAATACTGTGTATTTTTTAATAAAGAACAGATATGTTCAGTCACCTTTTTGGAAAAGTGAAATGAAGTCACATTTTTGTCTTTCTTATTTAAATTGGTAATATTAGTAAAAAAGGGCATGTTTGTTGATTATGAATTTTTTTTGTGTTTATGTTTTTAATATAAAGATAATTAAGCTGAAAAGACCACTAATAAATCGAGAAGCTTGATTTTGATTCACATTTAGTTGTACTACTAGTACAGTTTTCACAAAATTCAGAGTACAATTAGGGGTGGACCCAGTCTGCGGTTCCGGTCCGAATCATAAGGTCCAGTAATGTGCCGGACTGGGTCGAGCTGAGTAAAGAGCGGTCCCAATCCTGGTTCTCGTTATTGGGGGCCAGACCAGGCGGTTCCGGTCCCGGGCCGGCCACTTTATTTGCCTTTCAAATGAAATAATAAATAGAACCAAACCGGGCCCAACCCGAAACCGGACCGCCCGAGGGACAAGAACTAGGGGTGGATTCGGTTCGGGCCACCCGGCCCGTTACCCGACCCGGTACTGTGCGGGCCCGGGACCGGCCCGGTCCGGCGGTCCGGGACCGGCCCGGTCCGGCGGTCCGGGACCGGGTGTGGACCCGAATCAGTGGGAATGGGCGGGGCGGGCACGGTTCCGGATAAATGTGACCCGGCCCGGCGGGGTCGGGGTCGGGCCCGGGTCCGGTCTGATTTTTAAAATAAAAAAAAATTAAATTGGGCTACTAGCCGTTGGGGGTGGGTGGGGTGCAGGGGGAGTCCGGGGGGGTTGGGTGGTGGGGGGTGGTGGGGGTGGGGGGTAAAAAACCTATAAATACTCATAATCTTAAACATTTTTTCATATCTCTTCTCCAATTCTTCCTAAATCCTATTCTTAACTCTCTACTCTCTAATTCTCTTATTCTCCAATATATTATATTTATTATTTATATATCTACTTTATAATTTATACTTAAGAAGTTAAGATGGAAAATCAAGATGCCATTATACGGTATAATTTTGATAAGCAGAAGGACCCGAAGACCGGGATGTGGTACGCAATTTGCAAATGGTGCGAGAAAAAATGTAGCATGAGGGTTTCAGGCGGATACGGGATGGCAATCAAGCATATGAAGTCATGTGACAAAGCCAAAGGATCAGGAGGTGCGGGAAGTTCCGATTGATTACAATTTTCAAAATATTTCTCTTAAAGTTTGTTTTAATTTTCAAATGTAGTTCCTATTTCATTTCAAATAAATGCACTTGAAGTTTGTTTTTAATACTCGTATAAAACTATAAACTATAAAATATAAATTATAAAAAAAAAAACTTTAACCGGCCCGACCCGACCCGTGACCCGGGCGGGTGGCCCGGCCCGAACCGGACCCGTCCAACCCTCGGGCCGGTCCCGGGCCCATGTCATACAAACCGGCGGCCCGACCCGGCCCGAGTCCATCAATAACAAGAACTGGTCCAGAAGCAGATTTATCCGGTTCGAACCTAATCTTCTTCCTTACTTTGACACCAGAATCGGCCAATCCGGGATCGAAACCAAGTCTATGCCCAAGTACAATTGTAGAAATTGGAGATAGTGTAAAGAACTGTAATATTAAATCGGGAAACTGGAGTAGAAAGTAAATATATATACACCAAGTTGCATGTTTCAACAGATAAATATTGTTTTTAAAAGATAAACCGATTGAATCGAATGAGAATGTTTTTAATTGAACTTATTTCAGTCCCTAATCAAACCAAACCAATTCAGATTTCGCTAATTGTCAAATACACAGAGACCAGACATCTACCATAACAGGCCAGAAAATTTCAGTCCAATAAAAACATCCTAAATCTAACAAAGTTCTTATTAAAGCATTAAAATTGTCTAAATATGCTTCACTAAAAAAATTAAAAATAGATTGTATTAATAAAAATAAGAAAAAATTATATAGAAGTACAGCATAGCTAAAAAATTAATCATTGGCTGAAATTCAATCAATTCCATTAGAAAAATAAATTCACCCTCAATTATTTTTATAATTATACAACTTGATGAGCAAAATCATAGACTACTAAACAGGCTTGTTCCCTATATTTCGCATGCGGGATTGGCGTATTGCGGTGTATTTTGTTTCAAGTATTGTCCATGGTTCTCAAAATAAAAAGGTATTCCAGCAGTAGCACCACCCCCACCCCACCCGACACCACCCAAAAAACTGTCATAACGATACCGCAAAGAAAAAACGGAATATCAAAGAGAATTTAATATTAACCATTGACGAGTACCGAGTACATATAGAAACAACATTGGCAACAAATGAATTCACACGATCAATAATCGCATAATCGTTTACTCTGGATACAACTATCACTTTGTGAAATCAAGATCAATAATTATACCTGCAACTTTAGTTTTGGACCTTTCGCCGGGATACGGCAAGTTCAAGTATGAACATGACATTTTAAACAGAATGAATGAATTTGTTAAATCGACACACTTTTACAATGGCAGCAACCCGGGCACTCTGAACTGCAAATGAATTGCAAATTTTAATACTTTGAAATAATAATAACGTAAAGAACAGAAAACCCAAACCCAAAAAAATGTCCTGAATCAAACCTCATGGAAAATGTTGCATCTCCAAGCAGGCGGTAACATATTCACAAGGGATGCATATAAAAGTTCAATCTTCCGGTTGGAATTCGAGGTCTAGTTTCCTTTTTAAATGTGATCTGTCAGCACTGCACACAACAAATACAACCCATTGAAGATTTGAAGGCATTTAAGTATACAAGGTGCAGACCAACCATTGATACAACAATCCATTCAAATAGATCATTCAACATAGAGGTATAAATTAGACCTTTAGTCATTTGAAAAAAGTCTACATCATTTACCTGTTAATTGTTGGTCGAGAAGGCGGCTTCATCCCAAAGACAGAGAAATCCAAGGACGTAGGAGCCTGCTGCTCACCAGCTGGTTGTCTGAATTCATTTCCATGGCCGCCATCTGCATTATCCAGTTTTGGGGCATTTCCATCAAATCCCTCACGAGTGGGCATCACCCTCCTTGACTTTCGCGGTGGAGAAAATACAACTGGTCCATCTTGTGGAATATGATCTGAAGCTTTGGGGTTGCCTGGATCCCTCTTCGGTGGAGGTCTTGGGAGCAAAGCTGGCTCAGTTGGTGGAGGGAGCGATGAAAAGTACCTAAAATTAAAGGTAAAGGCTGGGTTGTGCACTGGATGATAACTGATTCAGTTAATTAGCAAGGCTAGCAAAACAAACCGGTGTTCCAATGCTTGCTGAGCAGAAATCCTAGCTTTTGGATCATAAGTAAACATCTTAGATAAAAGGTCTAGAGCATCATCACTTGCCATAGGAAAGAGCATACGCAGAGGCTGTCCTGGAACATATTGGTACTCCACATAATCGGGCAGGTAAACCATATCAGCCCACTGAGATGGCTTTGGGGTACCAAAAGCTGCAAATATCTTTCCCAGCTGGTCAATGTCACTGTTCCCCTAAATATATTCCATGGGTCAACTACATCAGGAAATATGTAAACAAACCTGTGAAAAGAAATATCTGCATAGAACATTAGAGAAAAAGAACTTATCTCCGCAAAAAGCCGCAGAGAAGTATTATTATGGATAGGATTATTTATCCATTAATTTCATTTGTGTTACAGCGACACTGAAGCAGGACTTTTCTGCCAAAAATATCCTACATACAATGGATTGCCCCTGATAAGGGCTATAATGTACAAACTCGGATAACAGCTAGTTCAGGATAATCCAACAAAACGGCGTGTACTAATTGAGAGGCTAGGCCGGGCTATGTAGGCACTACCAGGCTTATACGGATCCAGAGTTCTAAAGAAGATTGTGAATGCTGCATTCTTAGTGTTGAAACCATGAGGGTCTCACACAGCAAGAAGTGTGGGACTTGTGAGGGGATTGATACTATGGAACAAGATTGGCACAACCCAGAGCAGCCCAAGACTTATTCAGCAGGGCCAGCAAGCCTGTCCTAACGTAAAGGCAAAGCCATAGTAACAGTCTAGCACTCATCGGCCCAAAGGATATAGCATAGCAAGGAAAAAGACCGGCTTATGGGTGTGCGGGCTAAGACCCTCTTTACACCTGTAATATGTTATAGGAACATGTGAAACTATATATATGTGTGTGTGTATACGTGTACGTATATATACACACAGGCACAGGCGCACATGTGTGTAGATGTGTCTATATGTGTGTGTCTGTGTGTGTGTATATATATAGATACACATTAGTATATTAAAATGCGTACATTTATATACGTATATATGTGATGTTATATATAACACTATATATTGGTTGACCCCCACATACAAACCCAATCAAGCCCTAACAACGGATAATGAGAAGGATTTGTGAGGGAGGTAAAATAAGTAAGCATAAAAAGAATGAAAACAGTCATAATGTGGAACCGTCCAAATTAGTCACGTATATAAAGTAGGATTAGGGTGGGGTTCAATGGAAGATTGAGGCAAAAAAAACACCTAAGGTATTCCATGTACCCGGTCCCATACTATACCCAAAAATCAACACCATAAAATTAAATGTTTGGTATGTACCCGAGCGTACCCATTAATACGTGGTGAGCATGCATACGTTAAAAATACCTAAGTATACTTGTGCCAAAACAGAGTAGATATTCTTCAGAAGTAGAGTGTTTTACCGGATTGCGTTGGATTGCCGTAACTAACACCAAGTACTATTTTATTAAGGAGAAAAATAAATAAACTGCTCACTGAAAACAGGCAGTAGCAATGTATGAATATTTACAAAATAGTGCATAAACAAGGAATCTATGATTACATCGCCCTTTAAAATAAATGTTACCCGCCAATTGTTAAAATGAATAATCATGAATACATCATAGATCGAATAATTTTTTACAATCACCTGCAAAAAGGGTTTTCGAAGAAGCAGTTCTGCGAAAATGCAAGCAGCAGCCCATACGTCAACTCCAGGTCCATAATGCTTGGCACCAAATAACAACTCTGGCGCTCTGTACCATCTGGCGAAGACCTAAAAACATAAAAAAGTTTCAACTCTTACAGCCAAGGCTTACTCATTCACAAAAACGGGGTTCGTAAAGACATTATGTGAGCAAAAGAAAAAGGTGGAATGCCTATGGGTCTTTGGGAGGATAATTGAGGCTTAGATGATATATATACACATACACATATATACGATAAATATATTTTCTCCTGAACCTTTCATCACTTGTACCCGCGTTATTTTTAAAAATTGAATCAAAATGTATATTATTTAGACTTTGTATGAAAGTTATGATTAATGAGTTTGGTTCTAATTAATAAAGTAAGAAACATAATTGAGTGTAAGAAACGTTATACCTAATGAGTGTAAGAAATATGATACCTGATGAGTGAATCTTCTATCTGGGCTACCAAATAAACGGGCTAACCCAAAGTCAGCAAGCTTAAGCTGCCCATTCGATCCAATTAATAAGTTGTTTGGTTTCATATCCCTGTAATTGAGCAACAATAAAAAGTCAATGAATCAGAATAAAATTAAAGCATAAACAACTTGTTTTTTTGCAATCTTACCTATGCAAGACCCACTTTTTATGGCAAAACGCGAGTCCTTTCAGTGTCATGTGAAGGTATGACTTAATATCAGCAGGTGAGAGAAATATATTTCTATCACGGATGACAGCTTCCATATCAGTCTCCATGAACTCAAACACAAGATGCAAGTTCCCCTTATGGGGAAAGGCATCTATCAATTCAATTATATTAGGATCATTTAGCTCTTTCAATAGTTTGATTTCCCTCAAAGCAGTGAAATTAACACCTTCCTTCTGCTTCCCAAGCCGAATTTTCTTTATGGCAACTGTCTGCCCGGTCTGCATAGTTCAAGAGTGTGGATAAAGGATTAAAGGACAACAGCTGTAATGATTATTGGTTAATGATTTAAAAGAACATAATTGCTACCAGAAAAGCAGATTAACCAAAACAGTGAACAAAGATTAAAAATAATGAAAAATGTATGGCCTAAATAAAGGCATCGGACAAAAATGTGACTTTTCATACTTTAGTGACTACCATAGTGGCTTAGGTGACCGTGATTGTAGTGACTATGCATAGTAACAATAGTAATGGTTTTGTTCATAAGTTAAGGAAAAGCTGGGAAAACAAAGCAAGAAATATAAGCTGAATGTGACCAAAATCTCTCAGGAAACTACATAGTTAAACCCTGACATTTTAGGAGTATCCAAGATCTGTGTAGAAGTATGCATGGTGTTCTCCTTTACCGCTCTTTAGGTCTTTACATTTTAGGTAACCAGGCTAAAATGTATATTGATTGAATTGCAAAAAGAATCAAATTAAGCGGTGCACTATCACATTAATCGTAAGTAGACCCTTAAATTTGAAAGGGAAAGAATGTAAAGATGAATTGGTGTAGGGTGTGTAACTTACCTTAGTGTCAATAGCTTTGTAGACGACGCCATATGTACCTTCCCCAAGAACTTCGCGCTTCAGGTAACGATCCGCCACTTTCTTACTACTCTCTAACACTTCCGACATGGGAATCGGACAAATAGAGCAGCGAGGGATCTGCGGCCGGAGTGAAGGGATGCGCCAGATGAACTTGGCCGAAGATTTGAAGGAGATAAAACCCTGCGGATTGTAGATCGAATATGATTGAAATGAAAAGCCTTAACCAGTAGAGACACTCGCTTGGCCGCCGGTGGACGTCAATGCTAGCCACGTACCGCAGTTCACCGTACCCTGAATAGCAGCATCACTTTCAGGACTGCGGTGGGAGAACTGGAGCAGAGATTGCAGGAGAGAAATTTTGGGTTAGGGCTAACGGTCAGTTTGGTTTGGTATAATAAAAAATCACAAATTATGCTGTTCTTATACCGGGGATCCGTGTACGGCGAGCACTTTGTTATTTTCTATTTCTTCTTTTTTTAAAATTGTTAATAATTTTTTTATTTTTGATCTGATTTTTATAAAATATATATCAAAATTTTTTATTTTTCATGATCTTTCAAATGAGATCAATATTGTCTATGTAATTTTAATTTTTTACATTCATACATTTTTTGTAATATATTTTTATATGCATACACTTTTTCTATAATATATTTTTTATCACTTTTATATGATTTTAGAGGTTTTAAGATATTGAGTTTGTTTATTTTGCTTCTAGCTTGGAGTTACATTTGATAATATACGAAGTTACATCATCTTATACTCCAATTACAAGTTATTATGTGTGAGTTACATCTTCTTATGTGTGAGTTACATCTTGCTATACACGAGTTACATACTTTTATGCGAGAGTTACATGTAATTATGTGTGAGTTACATCTTGTTATACACGGGTTACATACATTTATGCGCGAGTTACATGTAATTATGGGTGAGTTATATCTAATTATTTGTGATTTTTTACTTTATCTTTATCTTGAACTAATTTAATTATAATTGAATTAATTTTTTTCTTTGCCAATTTAATATAAAATTTAATTAATCCACATAAAATAAGTATATTGTATTTCATATTCATACACTATTTTTCAAATGATAAAAATGAAAGATGTAGCAGGGGTTTATTTCATGGTGTAACTCACATACATTAAGATGTAACTCGTGTATATTAAGATGTAACTCGCGTACAATAAGATGTAACTCGCGCAGAAGAAGATGTAACTTCATGATATATTATCAAATGTAACTTCAAAATAATTTGTTAAAATTACATAAGCAATATTGGTCTCATTTGATAGATCATGGAAAATTAAAAAAATTGATATAAAATTTATAAAAATCGGATATCAAATAAAAAAGTTATTACAATTTTTAACAATAAAACAAATAAAAAAATGAATGTTGCGTCGTTTTGGGATCGGGCGCACCATCCTCATGATGCGCCGATCCCAGGATATAAACTGCGCAAATTATGCGTGTGATTTGTTTAGGAAAGTGCAACATCTATATACTCATTCAATTCATTCAATTTATTTCCTAGAATGTACGATAGTAATAAGGAAAAATAATTAAAATAGCCAAAATTTTGAAGAAGTGTGAGATACTAATGGGGGTTAACCCTCTATTTATACTAATGGGGGTATGGGGTGCTCCAAGCTGATTGGTTGTTAATCCACCGACTTGAATGCCCATCCCCCTACTTGCTGATGTCGTAATCTTGTAATAAATGCTTCCGGTCACTTGTTGGCCACCCGCTGCCTGAACGGGTAGTGGACCCTGCTGGAATCATCATTGATCTGGCCCAATTACGTTGGTTGATCCGAACCCCGTTCGGTACATATTTCTCCATGAACTTGTTCATCTTTCGGATTCTGGGCCCGTTTGTTGGACCGGATATATTGGCCCTTTGATCCGGGTATTGGGCCTGCGGTCCAATATTCCAACACGAGTCCCCCACTTCCGATGTCTCGAACGGTAGTGAGTGCATTGGGAAGTAGAACTTGTATGCCGAATGGCGATCGAGATCCAGAGTTTGCTGGTTCCCCACGTCGTGATTAGTACCTTTTTTGCGGCTGTCGTTTGATTTTTTCCATAATCGTCATGATTACTGGCCCTTGATCTCATGTGCGACATGTGTCCTTCCAAATAATCCAGGTGACGTGTCTTCTTCTAATTGGTTATTGATCCGGCGTTTGTCAGGCTATAAATGGACCTTGAAATCCCTGAAAACGGGTTTTGAATTCTCATTTCCTTCGAGCCCTTGTTCTGCCTTCTCTCCAGCTTCTTCGAGCTTTTTTGTGTTCAGGTACTCTTTGTTCCTTGTTTTTCCTTTCTTCTTCGTGTTCGGTCACATGTCTTCTCGAACATCTTCTGGTTCGGATTCGGGGCCCACTTCTCGAGAGGAAATTCACGATGCTACTGTACCGGATGCCATAGAAGTCCCCTTTGCAGATGTTGCTAGTACTACGACTGCAGGGGCGGTTGATGAAAATCGTTCGAGCGATTCTTCCTCTAGCGAAGATTCTGACGGCACGATGTCCGGCGACGAATTGGCTTTAATGGCGGTTGGTCCTCCGGCCGATGTTCCTCGTTATAGGGTGGACCTAAGGTTAATTAGGGAAAGGAGGCAAAAATTGACGTCTCACAATAGGGCCCAAATCCCAGCCCTAATCCCTGATCCAGTTAACTTCCGTCTTCGGGCCGGGCTTCATCCGATGCGCCACCTTCCCGGGATGGTGGTGGTCCATCTAGATTCAATTAAAGTTGGGCTTAGGTTTCCCCTGCATCCCTTTTTGTGTCCCTTCTCAATTTCTATGAAGTAGTGTCGGCCCAAATAATGCCGAACTCCTATCGGGTAATGGCCGGATTCATTTGCCGCTGTGTAGATGTAAATGTCAAGCCCAATTTAGAATTATTTCATCAATTTTATAAAGTAGCCCCCTAGCAGACCCATGGCTACTTAGCCGCAACTGCCCGAACGGGTCATATACTTTTCAAGGGCAATCTAACTTCAATCAAGGGGTGGAAAGATCGGTTCTTCTTCGTTTCTGTACCCGACGGCCTGATTCCGAACAAATGGAATACCTTTCCTCGTAAATCACCGGAGCCGGTTCTGACTGAGATGATTTGCAAGGACGTTTTTGCAGTGGAGGAAGCCAAAGTCTGCAACATTCTAGCATATCTGACCCCCGATCAACTTATCAAGGTCGGGATAGGTACTGCCCGTTCTCTTGGGTCTACTTGTTTAAGAACCAAGTACCATGGGCCGGGCGGTCCTTCCCGTGCGAGAAACGTTCCAATTTTCTTTGTTTCCCAAGTGATAAGACCGTTCGGTACTAACTCTTACCTTTGTTTTTTTTAGTCCCCAATACAGACAACTCCATGGATAACTGTCGAGTGCTAGCAGCCGGTGGAGTCAGGAAAAGGAAGAAAGCAAAGAAGAATCCTAAGGCCAACCCTTCCACCACCACTGGTCAAGATACCGGGTCCTCTCAGCCCGTTCAGGAGCCACAACCAATTCAACAGGTTCCCCATCAGGATCAGTTTGAAGAAATGCTGATCGATGATCGGTTCGGGTCTGATCAGTTGCATCAATTCTCCGAGCACTTTCAGGTTGCTCAGGATGTCAGCATGACTGCAGGTGAGACCAATACCGTCCACCTTTCTGGGCAAGTCGAACGGATATCTCTAGCAGATCCCGTTCATGACGTTTTAGAGAAAGCTGGCTGTTCTGCAAGCCAAATCCGATCCACTTCTTCGTGGTTTAATAATTTTGTTGTTCCTAAGCTACCGGTCGAGCAGTCTGAAGAATGTTTGGCCTTAGCAGCTTTGAAGGTATTTTATTTTTTCTTCTGTACTTTGTTTTGTAAGTTATCATTTATCCCATACTGTTTCATCTTTTGGTTTCGAGCGGGATCTTGTAAGTGGGGCTCTACAGCCTGCAACTGAGGGAGGCTCAGTTGGCTAAGGAACGGGATTTGATCGTTGCCCAAACCTCCGCTGAGCAAAATACGGCTGCTACTCTCGCCACTCTGGAGGCCGAACGGAAAGCCTCTGCAGAAGAAAAGCAACGGCTCGAGTCTGAGCTTGGTGAGCTTAGGGTCCAGCTCGGGGCCTTTCAAGCCAAAGTTTATGCCGCAGAAGCTGCTTTGGTGAGGTTTGGAGAAACAGCTCCCCGTATCTCGGACGGTCCTGCTGAGGTGAACGTTGATCTGTCCGCCATTCGGGAGGCATTCAAATCTTCAGAGAAGTTTAGCGCCCTAAAAAAGGAATACGCGCAGCAGGAGCTCCCGGCCACTTTTGGTGCTTACCTTGACCAATTCCCCAAGGGTGATGCTCGCCGTAGAGAAGGGGTGAAGCTGCTTGACCGGGATCCTAGGGGTAAAAAAATCAATGACTCCCTGGCTCAATCCCTTTATGTGATGGGCTGTCAGCATATCCTGGCCCCCTTCGTGGCCAAGCGTCAAGAAATGCTAGGGAGGCCGGTCGAACTTGCCGATCTTCCCTCGGTCCCTATCGTTGAGGCCCAATTTGACAAATACCAAAGGGACCTACAATGGGCCACTGATCGTGAAGCGGGGAGAGAGCCTGAACCCCCTTCTGACTCGGATGAGGATGAAGATGATGTTGATAATAAGGAGGCCACCGAACAGTAGTTTTTATCAAGTATTTTTAGTATTTGTAATCCCCCCCTTCTCATTTTTTGGCATATGATCATTGTACTTCCCGGCCAATAGAGCCGATGAATATATCTGAAACCTTTTTTGCTCAATGCTCTATTTATTATCTTTCTTGTCTTTATCAATTTCTTGCTTTATCAGTTGGTAATCGGTCTGTTTCATGGGACTTAGCATTTTCTTCTAACCCTTAGTTTTTTTGACCATTTCTCTGTATCGTCGTTCGGGCTTCCGACGATTCACCAGGACTTGGCCCCTTTTTTGTGTTCCTTATCATTTGGATTGTCGTCCGGGCTTCAGACAGTTCTGTAGGACTTAGTCGGTTTTCGAACTTTTTGTTTCTGATGTTCCTTCTATCCCACATAATTGTTAGTAGAACCCCTGTTCGGTTTGTTTGCTGACCATATCTAACAAGTATAGACACTACCAACTCCTTATCTTAGATTCTACAAGTCGCTCGTTTTCTGAACATCGCCCGGATCCTGTACCTCTGTTGTCTCTATATCATCTTTGAATCGGTTAGGTATACTTTCCCCCCATAGTGAAATATTACCCGTTCGGGACGTCTCTTGACATGTTCATCGTTTGGTGTCTCTAAGATGGCTTCCTCAAAACTGCTAACCTGTTCCTCATGAATCACTTAGTGATCGTTCGGGGAACGTGCTGGATTATCATAAATGTGCCATAAATCTCGCGCAACCACATTTTGCCACGTGT